ATAATATAATTGTGAAAGGGGATACGTAATGGGTACGTGGCATGTGATGAATTGTGGAAGGAGATATGTGTTATTTTCTGATTTACATTAACGTTCCTAACATAAAATCTCACGTAAAACAACTTTAATATATGAATAAAAATATATTATCAGTTTTATTATTATTATTTTAATAAAATAGATTAAATTATCAAAAAAATTATTATTTCTATTGATTTTATTATTATTGAATATTTTACCGATTTTATTATCATATCCAGTGAACCCTTCGCTAACCAAACCCAACAAATCCAAGCTTGTCAAAATTTGGAAACAATCATTGAACAAGAAAGAGCCAGTGGGTCCATTATCATTTACAATCTTGTCAATACAAGAGAATACTTATCCATGGTGTTAATTTGTTCGCTATACCTGTTAAATGATTTTAGTGGAAAAAATATTTAAATTCAAGCAGTCGTATTTATAAAATATATATTATTAATATTTAAAAATAATTTTAAATATATATTATTTTATAGTCATTTTACTTTATTAAAATATATATTATTAAAATATAATTTTAAAAATATATATTATTTTATAGTCGTATTTTATATTATTAATATCTAAAAATTATTTTATTTTAAAATAATTTAAATATTTAAACATTCTTTATCAACTTTAAAACATTGGTAATCTCTTAATTATTTTCGCTCAAATTTCTATAGTGCATGTACATTCGTCATATTTGTACTTTGACAATAATTAAGATTGAAAATTAATGCTCTGATATTTTGATATTTCAATTTCAGTAAGGTTGTTTCATATGTTCGAAACACAGACTCGTTTTCTTCAAAAACTAGAAATAGAAAGATACTGTCCTGCTTTTTTGGAATTATTAAATTAATAAATTAAGATTTGTTGGGTCATTAAAAATGGGATATTCAATTAAATTTAATTTGAATTTATAAAATTTATTTTAATAAAAACTAGAAATAGTAAGATATTGTCATGCTTTTTAGGTCGTTGTGTGGTGCTAATTCTTCCTTACGCATAATCGATTTTCGAACTTAACTTTTTGACTTGTAGACCTAAAAACGTTATTTTAATAATTTTTTAAATTAAATTTTATTAAAATGACAAAATCAATTTGAATACCCAATTATATCATAATCAAAGATTGGTAGTGATTTCTCGAACTGATTTTTTTAAAAATGGAAAATACCAATTTAGTGGAGACGACCCTTAACATTCCCGATTTAGGGGACCGTTTCCACAGCATGAACTTGCTAGCGTGGCATTCCTTGCAGTAAGTCTATACTCGTTCACAATTTGGGATCTCTACAGGTGTTAATCTCTTTGGAGGAGAGAACTTCGTAAGTTCTTCAATCTTGACTTCAATATACTATAAAATATTATTATCTTTTAAGAACTAAAAATTAATTAAATATAGAATAAAAGATAATATTTAGATAAATTAAACAAATTTGTAAAAACTTAAAAATAAATTTAATTTAACGTTCGTTTTATAAATATAAATATAATATAATTTATAAATAATTAATATATTTCATAAAGATGCACAGGTTCAAATCCCATGGTAGGCTTCATTTGGTTTATTCCAGTCTTTCCTTTCAAATTAATCAAATTGTGTCGTGTGGCAACATCTAATTAATTGCTATTAATTTAATAAAAATTAATTATCTATAATTAATTAATTTTAAAATATTATTTTGTTGATGCGGCGTCATACGTGGAAATGTCAAGTCAGTATTTCAATCCATGTGAACTTACCTGATCAGCAGTAAGGGTCCAAAGTTTTCATCTATCTAGGGGGCATTTTGTCCTATAATGAAACGTAGGGGTCCAAAGTGTTTTAAAAAAAGAATAGGGGTCAAATTGTCTATTTTTTCAAATTTTAGAGACTGATTTTGTCATTATGCCAATAATAAAAAAATCCATATCATTCGAGAGTGGTCAAAATAAGAGCAAATTTAAAATTTAGTGATTAAACTAAAAAAATTAAATTTTAGTTACCAAAATATGATTGAGAAATAGTTGATTAGGGAATGGTGTAATTTACCCTTATTAGTAATATTACAAATGGGTTATTGAATTTAAAAAAAATATAAATGAACCACTCAATTAATTTATTGTTAAAAATATTTCATTCTACTAACAGAAATAAAATATGTGTTAACTTTTTAATAACAATCATATCACTATATTTAACAATTGTAATAATTACATCATTCAATTTATTGAATATTACAATCGAATCACTCAATTGTAACTAAAAAGTTAATGTTCGTAACACACTTAACCATAGAGTGACATGTTTGTAACAATTGATTAACTAAGTGACTCATCTATAAATTTTTGGGTATAGTAAACCTAAACTTTAAAAAAATTAATTTGGTCACTCAACATTAATATTGTTATGTTTTTTTTTTCACTCGATCGGTAAATCACAAAAGGTGTGACTACATAATAGCTTAAATCAAACAATATCATTTTAGATCCTACAAAAATATTAAATTTATTCCAAAATAACATTGTTTCGGATCTTTATAATAATTATTTTTCGTTTACTTTTTTTATGTTCATATTTTGTACTTTCTTCTCGTTTTTCTTTCTCTCCTTTTCTCTCTCTCTCTCTACTTGAACCAACTCAAATTCCAACTACCACTTAATGCAACTGGCCATTGCACCGTCCGCCATTCTGGTCGCTGTAAGCAATGATAAATGATGAGTCTTAATTTAGTTTTATAAATATTGTAAATACACAAGTTTAAATTCAGAAAAAATAATATTATTAGTTTTATGAGTTTAATTATTTAAGCTTGTCTTATAATAAAATTCATAATGAATTTAATTTAGTTTGATTTGGAATAAACGAGTTTTATAGAGAAAAATAGAACTCGAACAAAATTATAAAATTAAATATATAAAGTATAAATTATCTCAAAACTGAACCGCAAAATAAAAACCCAAACAACATTAAACCGCATAATTTAATTCACATTAAAATTTTAATTTTTTCAATTTCATGACTTAAATATCTTGAATACGGACGAAAGCTACTTTGCATCTAATTCTCCAATTAATTAACATTATGGTTTTTATTAACTCTAATTTGCTTTAATATCTTGTCATGCATTCATTGATCCACGTTACGTAATTTTCACAAGTTTTAACCATGACCGTATATAATATTTGACATGCCCGGACTTATTCCTTTTAATTTTTTATACATACATATCTTATAATAAACTATGAACTTCCGTATTGGATTTCACAAATAAGGTCTTGAAAATGAGAGCACGTTAAACACGTAGAACCATACTTCATTTACAAGTTTTGAGTTTTTTTTTTTTACGCGATGATAAAATTATCCCTTAATATTCATTAAAATAGTTGTTTTAGCTCTTATTCTTTTTTTAATATTTTATTTTTTAATGTTTTAATTTTTATTAAAATAGTCCATGTTAGAAAGAAACTGTTAGTTGATTAATAGTTAATATATGTTAATGTGATATTTTTCTGTGTTTAATTGATGAGATGACACATATGTTAATTGACTAACAGAGTTATATTATTGACGTGACATTTTTTTTCACGTGCTTAATTGGTAATGTGGTAAATATTACATCACTTAAAGTGATAATATGACACGAGCTACATCACTGTAAGCACATGGAAAAATATAACGCCAACAACATTTGTTGATCGTTTTTCAACAAATGATTTTCATCTAGTAGAGATTATTTGAAATAACGAAAAATGTTGAAGTTAAAATGCTCCAAAAAGAAAAGGGTTAAAATAATTGTTTTAACAAATATTGGAGGATAATTTTTAAAGAGTATCAGTATAAATATCCCCATTGTCTTGTTAAACTTACAATTGCGTGCTATCAATGGCAATTTCTTCATCACGTTGGTTGTTGAAACAACGTTTGATTGCTGGCTTTCTGTTTGTTGTCATGTTTACCGACACTAATCCGGTAGCGAATGGATGTTTCACGTCGATTTTCAGCTTTGGTGATTCCTTAATGGATACCGGTAACTTACTTGAGATTTCACTTTCGGAATCCAAGAAGCTTCCACCTTCGGCTTTTTCTCCGAATGGCCGGACCTTCTTTCACCGTCCAGTCGGGCGGCACTGCGATGGTCAGTTGGTCATCGATTTCCTTGGTACGTATATACATTGCAGCTAGGTTCTATAATAAATTCATTTAAAGAGTATTTCATCAAGTATTCTATTATGGTCTCTCCAGTAGAAAAACTAAATTTGAAATTCATGCTAGTTGGTTCATTAATAACCTTTAAGAGATTCTTTTGGGAACCTTTAAGATTCAACATCTTAACTTATAATGTTCATCAGGTAATACAAAACATATTAAAATTCTTAAATAACTACTGCTGGTAAATTTCACCAAACAAACCCCAGCATTCGAAATCAAAATCATTGTCAAAAATTAAACAAAATAAGAGAGACATTAGAAAGCCATAACTTGACATTTTTTTGGGACTTTCTGGGTATACTCAATAGTTGTTCGGTGATCTTCGATTCTTCTTCAGCCGTTAAGACTTGAGATGCACATATTTTAAGCTTATCAAGAACTGTTGCATTCTTCAAGATGAAAGTAACCAATTTAAATAGAGAACTCTCATCATCAAAATCTAATACGTTAACCTTCTTGAGATGATGTTCAAGACAGGAAGACACCTTTTCCATTGGAAGCGGGACCTAAGACCACCAAAGAAGAAATGTTAGAAGATTTATTTTTTAAAGTACATACTAATATATTTTTCATTATATGTGTACCTCGTTTGATGATATTTTATATATAACAAGAGTTTGTAGAGTAGGTGAAAATTCAAAAAACTTGAGAATCTCTCGTCCTTGCCATGTGTGTTTCCCAAATGTCCAGTTTAAACAGGTTTTGAAATGGAACAAAACGTTTGTGGGACACAAATGTTATATTGGTCAAATAAGAGTTTAAAAGAACTTAAAAAGCATCAATATTGACGAATAAAAATGAAACTCATTGCTTCTGGATTGATACTCAAATGAAGTGACTTGATCTTGTCAATTCCTTCAAAAAGTTTAACTAAAACATCTACTTCTGTTGTAAAAGTTAACGTTCCATAAACCTTAATACCAGCCCTAACAAGAGAAGGCATGTTTACCGTCAAATAATTTTTTGCTCTGAAGTCCACGTATTTGAAGTAAACAAGACTTGGAAGATTAATGACAATGGCAAACGCTAAGCAGAGTGAATGGTCATCAAGGGGATAATCGTTAAGAAGTAAAGTCAAGCTCTTAAGTGAAGGAATTGAGATTGTAAGATAGATTATGTTTCGCATGTCACAATAGAAGATAGACAATTGTTCAAGTATAGGACATCCTGAAAAGAACGTTTTGACTGAATCATCATCTTCAAATTTAGTAGATCGAAGCACCAAGATCTTGAGGCTAGGCAAACAAACATGAATATGAACACTCATTACAAATGGGATTTCCAGTTTCAATCTCACCAGTGTCTTGCAAGTAAAAAGCAGAGCATTAGGCAACATGGGAATGTTATTGGACTCTAGAGCAAAAACCAAATCTATCTCCTTAACCCCATGCCAAATTGCACCATATATCCATGCACAAACACGTGAATCATCGATCCCTGATATGTCAATACGATTGAGTCGAAATTGTTTGATCCTTCCCTCACTATAAAAAAACAACCATGAAGTTGGTGAAGCTCTTAACAGTATGTAGAGAAGAACGTCATAATATTTCGAAATCAACGTCAAATCTAACCAATGAGGCAAACATGTATCGCCATCTGGTTGATAGAATGGAGGTTGAAACTACATCTTCGATGGGAAGCGATGATAGAATGCGAGTTAGAAGGGAATCGGGCAAATTACTAATCCTATTGGATGCCATTGGAAGTTCAAACTTTGAATGACAAATGAAAGGTTACATATATATAGGGAAGAGTTGCCAATGAATAGAAATGTCTCATTTTGAAAACACAATTCTTTTTAAGAACATTTTGAAAACACAACTCTTTTCGAGAATTTATAATATGTTTTATGCCTCTTTTACAATAATTGAAAGGGTGTGTGGGTTTAGAATGAATTAGTTTTAGTTCATTATTATTACGATGCCTGTCTAGATTTCATTTGGTATTTTGTAAGCAGGCATCGAGATGCATCTGTCGAAAAACATCTTTAAAAAGCATAAAGATCTTTTGTTATAAATAATGTGAAGATGCCTCAACTCAAAAACATCTTTAAGAAGCATTGAAATCCTCCTCTATAAGCAACATCGAAATGCATCCGCTTAAAATATCTTTAAAAATCATATAGATCATTCAATGCAAGTAGCGTCAATATAGCTTCACTCAGAGTCATCTTTAGAAAGCGTCCAGATCCTCCATTGTAAATATCTCTAAAGAAGTCACCATGTGTTCGTAAGAGGGAGGCAACGAACACAACAAAATCATCGCTTTGTCTTCATCCTCAATTTTCACATCAAGCCGAGCCAAATTAGAAAAGATTTGATTGAAGACATTCACGTGTTGCACCAAATCATTATCGTCCTGCATCTTCAGCCCATACAACCGTTGCTTTAGATACAGTTTAGTCATTAAGGATTTGGACATAAACTGACTTTTCAACTTCTTCCAAATTTCATCTGGAGTCGACAGATGCATGACGTGATACATAACCTCGTCCGCCAAACATAATCGTATGGTTCATGCCGCTTGCTGCTGCAATTATTCTCAATCTTCCTCCTCCATTGACGCCGGCTTTGTAAGTCGCAAAGATTTCAGGATTCCTTGCTGCGCCAACAGATCCTTCACCCTTGTTTGCCATAATCCGAAGTTACCCTGACCATCGAATTTCGCAACTTCGAATTTTGCTACTGACATCTGATACCAATTGTTGAAGAATCAGGTAAAGAAAAATGAAAGAACACAAGAATTTTAACGAGGTTCAGCAATGTGCTTACGTCCTCGGTGCCTAGGTGGCGCTAGAAGTTTTATTCAATATCTCACAAGTTTAGGTTACATCTCTATTTATAATAAATAAACTCTGGTATATAATTACAAAATTAACCCTGTACCGTACCGCGGGGCTGCGCCCCCGCACCCTCAACTCACATAATCGTAACTCCCACTATGAGACTTTCTTTGTAAGGACAGTTGATGTTCGCTTCGCTCACTCTGTTCCATCTCCTGTCCTCTTTACCGGTATATTTATGAGCCATACCTAATAAATTATCTTTGAAGCAATCAGGATAATTGGGTTGCACCATCCATTGAAATATCTCAACTCCAAGTGACAGTCCATGGCAGGCCATCTTTGGCAATATTTTATAATAACTGTACCCATTTGATAAATGATATTAAAAGCGAAAGATAATCATAATTCAGATTAAGATAATAATATTAATTATTTATTTATAAGGACATTTAGAGTTGACTAGGATGATGACCGATCATACCAATGTTATTTATTTGGATCTTTCACGTGTATTATAGTTATTAGTTAGTGTGTTCTCGAGTAGACAAATTTGTTTATTCTAAGTGTTATTTATACATCAAATATCATGTTTTAGTATATAAATGAATAATAATTTTTAATTGTGATTTTTTAAATAAGTAGTATAGTTAAAATTAGATAATTCAATTGATAAATAATAAGTCACATGTACAATTATAAGTTAAGAATAACCAGTTCTTGGAGTTCCGAAATGAATTGCATCAGCAACAGCTTGATTAATCTACAAGCATTATCCACATTACTCATCCAAAACTTATAAAATGATTAAAACATTTTAATATTTCAACCAAAATATATGATATGGTAATAAAATCATTCTGTTTTATATAAAATATTTAATTAAGATATACGTTGTTGCTTAGAGATTCAACAACTTATGATAATAGAAAGCACCTCTGCATCTGATTCTTTTTCCCATTGACCCATTTACATATAATCGGAATTATCTTTTATATTTTATATATATATATATATATATATACCATATATGGAAACTTACCTACCACGTTATCACACAAAAAATGATGATAGAAGTAGACGTATCTTTTAATCTACATTTCCTACAATGAAAAATAATTGAAATTACCTACCACGGTATCATTTGAAAAGGTCAGATAAGGAGTATATATCTTTTTCTTATAATTAAATGAATTTTTTGGTAGGGAAGTATAAATATAAATATCCACATTTGAAGGCTGTAGGTGCAGAAAGAAATTCTCTTTGATTGTATGCATCAATGGCATCATGTTCTTGGCTGAAACAACGGTTCATTGTTATTATCTCTGTCTTTGTAACAATAACCAGCGTTAATTCACCGGTGAACGGATGTTTCACGTCGATTTTCAGTTTTGGTGATTCTTTAACCGATACCGGCAACTTACTCGAGATTTCGATTTCAGAATCCAGCAGGCGTCCTCATTCTGCATTTCCTCCCTATGGCCGTACCTATTTTCACCATCCGACTGGGCGGTACTGCGACGGTCGCTTGGTTATAGATTTCCTTGGTAAGTATATCGATCTTCTTTGTTGCTCCGACTCTTCATTCTTGTCTAATATCCGTGCCGAAATTCAACATGGTTTTGCAGCTGAAGCATTGGGATTTTCCCTTCTACCACCATTTTATGGATCTAAAAGTGGAGGATGGGAGGAATTTCAAAAGGGAGTGAATTTTGCAGTGGCGGGTGCTACTGCTCTCAATTCTTCATTCCTTGCAGAACAAGGGATCCTGAGTGTCTCCACCAATATTTCTTTGGGAGTCGAAGTGAATTCCTTCAAAAATTTATTGCCATCTCTTTGCTCACCTTCTTTAAGTAAGCTTTTTTACTTCGTTTTGATTGAGTTTGCCAAAATTTTCATTTGTGTTCAAATGCTAATCTGCTGTGAGTTTATAGATTGCAGAGAGTTCCTCCGGAACTCCTTGATTGTGATGGGAGAGATTGGAGGAAATGATTACAATCATCCATTCTGGCAAGGGAAAAACACTGAGAAAATCCGACAACTTGTTCCTCTTGTTGTTGGTGTTATAACTTCATCAATCAACGTAAGAATCACTCATTTTAATTTTGTCATATTGAATTCGGGTTAAACTCTAAAATCACAATATATGCAGGAGTTGATCAAGTTAGGGGCGGAGACATTTTTGGTCCCCGGAAACTTCCCAATTGGATGCTCCCCATCTTTTCTGGCAAGATTTCAAGGCTCAAGCAAGGATCAATATGATCCCTTGACCGGTTGTCTAACATGGTTGAACCAGTTCACCGAATACCATAACGAGTTGCTTCGAAGAGAACTCCACGGACTCCGAAACCAACATCCCGACATCAACATAATCTATGTCGATTATTACAATATCTCAACCCGTATCTACCATTCCCCGGAACAATTCGGTAAATTTTCTACTTCTGCTCAAAACAGGAAAAACTTAATCCATCATCAATACCTGATTTCTTCACATCAAATTTTCTCAAACGATTTCAGGGTTTAAAGAAACACTCAAGGCATGCTGCGGGACTGGAGGTGTTTACAACTACGATCCTTCGAAATCTTGCGGTTATCCGCCATTGGACCGATGCTGCAAAGATCCTTCTTCATACATAAACTGGGATGGTATACATTATACAGATGCTGCCAACAGATGGTTTGCCAGCGTTGCATTTGCAGAACTGATGAATGCCATTCCTAGTTTAGAAGCCTTGTGTCCCACATCGACTTTAAACAAACTGGGAATAATGTATCCAAAGTCAGAGATGTAAATTATAATATAGGATGTTTTATAATTCAAGTGTCGAATTTGAGATGTATCCAAGTTTGGTGAGAAAATAATGTTTAGATTTTTCTTATAAAATTAATTTATTAACTAAAATATATTTTAAAAATAGAAAAAATAGTTAATTATGAGAACTTAATTGGGAGACGGGACAAATTTTTACTAACCACCTTGCAAAAATTTAAAATTAATTTATTTTTATTTAATGAATTATAAAAACTAATGTAAAAATATTTTTAATAGGCTAATATAATATTGTTTTAGTATATGAATAATGAAACGGGGCTGTGGTTAGAATTTCAAACATACATATGTCGTTAGTCTTAGTTTTGAAATGAAGTGTGGGAAAAATACCATATATAAAGGGAGAGCTTAGCAAAGCTATATTGGTGGAGTTTGTAAATTAACCGAAGCTAGTAGTGTTTATATTTGTATTTTGGTTCGTATTAATAATATTGTAAGAGTTATAAAAGTTCATCGAGTGTCCATTAACGCTTTCTACCGTTGTGTTTATTGAAATTATTTTCATGTATAACTTCTTAATTAATTTATCAAATTTCAATTAAATTTAGGGTGACGTATCTTTGTCATAAACTGATGGTTTGATTGTAAGACAAGTGATTAATGCTTACCAGCTGCTCACTAACTTGTTCCATATTCCCCAGAATTAAGCTGAAAAATGATATGAAGCACGCAAAATACTAAGTTATTATCAAGTTATTGACAAATAAAATTTTAATATGCATGTATGAAGATAAGTTAATTTGTACTATCATTTTTAAATGATACCGTGGTAGGTGATCTCCATATGTTATTAATCCTGTTTTCTATGAATGGATCGATGAAAGAATTAATTAGATGCAAAGTAGCTTTCAATAATTTAAAAAATATTAAATCCCTAATTGTATAGTTTGTATAGCTATCTTATATTTGGCATAATGCATTAAAATAACCTTAACGTTTGACAGTTGTGTCAAGTTTACCCGTATTGTTTTTTTGGAACATTTGACCCCTTAACGTTTCATTTTAAGTCAAAAAAAACCCTCATTGAATGAAAATTGTTAGTCAACTAACTGTCAACGCATGAAGATGACATGTCAAGCTTACATAACATCGCACGCTGATGTGGCAAATGCCACGTTAGTAAACATTAATTTTAAAAAAAAAATAATTACATTAATTTTTAATAATTTTCAACCAATACAAAGATGACACGTGTCATCATTTCATTGGCTTATATATTAAATTGTAAAATTTGCCTTCCAGCATCCATAAGTTCATAAATCTTAGAGTTTTGCGTGCTTCATATCATTTTTCAGCTTAATTCTGGGGAATAAGGAACAAGTTAATGAGCAACTGGTAAGTATTAATCACTTCTCTTACAATCAAACCATCAGTTTATGACAAAGATACGTCACCTTAAAAAATAAGCATAAATTCTTACCGGAAGGCAAATTTTACAATTTAATATATAAGCCAATGAAATGATGACACGTGTCATCTTTGTATTGGTTGAAAATTATTAAAAAATAATATAATTATTTAAAAAAAATTAATTTTTGTTGATGTGGCAAATGCCACCTCATCACCTTTGCATATGTGGCATTTGCCACGTCAGCGTGCAATGTTATGTAAGCTTGCCATGTCATCTCCATGCGTTACCCGTTAGTTGACTAACGGTTTTCATCCAACGAGGGTGTTTTTTGACCTAAAATGAAACGTTAAGGAGTTAAATGTTAAAAAAAAAACAATACGGGTAAACTTGAAACCACTGTCAAACGTTTAGGTTATTTTGTTGCATTATATCAAATATAAGATAGCTATACAATCTATGCAATTAGGGATTAATATTTTTTAAATTATTGAAAGCTACTTTGCATCTAATTAATTCTTTCATTGATCCATTCATAGAAAACAGGATTAATAACATATGGAGATCACCTACCACGGTATCATTTAAAAATGATAGTACAATCTTCATACATAGATATTAAAATACATCTTAAAATTACTAATCAAGATCAGTACGATTGGTGTAAACCAACAGAAACACATTTGGATCTCAACCTAAAGTTAAGGGAAAATGAACAGGGGTATCAATTGATAAAGGGTGACATTAAAGACTTATAGGCGAGTGTTTATTAATATATAGTAACATCTTCAACCAATACAATGAAAATGACTAATATGATTGTTAATTGCTACATTTAATTCAATGTTCTCACTATAAGTGGTATGACCAAGCTAGAAAACGTTCTTCACAAGCTTCGGATACATAGGGGCATAAGGCTATTAGTGTGAAACGAAGTAAACTGAAACATCAAAACTTAATAGAATCATTCTTTCGAGCGTTTGCTCAACCTTTCATCTTTCAAGCGCCTTTGATCTCCAACCATGGACTCAAATACATCCAAGAGATTGTCCAGTTCATCAGCATTATCACCCAAAGCCTTCAAAGTATATACAATGCTCTCAATGGTTGACAAACATCCTGCCTTCGGTTGATGCCTTATTTCACTATACAAGCTCATCTTGTCCAAATCTAACCTCAAATGGGGCAAAAGCTTCAACCATGGATTTTCATTGTAAACTCTCCCTGCCTTGGACCAAGTCCCGTCCAACACAATCAAATTCTTCACCTCGAAATGCATAGATTGAAGCTCATCAACTCCAACTGCATCTTGGCTCGGGAATAGAAGTACTGATCCTCGTGGGACCTTGACTTCAAATTCTTCATTCTCTTCCACTTCCACCTCCACCTCCATTTTCCCGTCTGATTTCCTCCTTCCAAGCTTTTTCACAACAAAACCACAGGACAAAGCTTCTTTGGCCCCTGTTGATTCCAAAATGTGCTCAAACTTCAGCTTCTTCCCATTTATATCTACTTTCCAAATATGAGAAAGATCAATAACATTTCCGTACTTAACCATTGTAGCACCAATCACAGGCCCTTCTCTATCTCGACAAACAGTTCCATTTCGATCAAAATCAATTCTATCACCTCTTGTTTTAGGCCAATCAGTTCTGTCATCTAAAACAGGTTTATTTGTATCATCAAAATTAGACCCTTCATCTAATTTCTCACAAGGATTCTCCATAGCCACTGAACCTTTTGCAACATCATATTCTTTACCAGTTAACTCTGACAACAGTCCATCACCACTAGGAACATCTAAACCCTTAAAAAAGTCGACACTTTTAAAATAATTTACCCCATTTTGGTTCCTACTAACATCATTTTCTAAACTAAAGGGAGTAAATTCTCCATTTTTTTCATTCAAGTTCCCATTTTTCTCATCAGGACACTTCCCATTTCCCTCAACTTCTAAACCAAAACTCTCAAAACCAGATTTCCGGCTCTCTTCCTTTCCCAAAACTTGAACAACCCCAGAACTTTCCGGTCCAACCATACCCAGACCTGACTCAAGGCACGGTTCCAACAACCTGATTTCAAACCGGGCTTCAAAATCAACTTCAGAAACAGTGACTACATTCAGATTCTTGAGTCCTAACTTTGCAATCCTAGTTGAATTTAAAGGATGGTTTCTTTCTGAACTGTGTTGAAGAATAGTTACACTTACGGAATTGTCGAGGTTCCGGGTCCGGATCCTATTGCAGAGGCAGACTCGGGCAGGTTTAGAACAAGTTGGACATACGAGTCTCCTTGGTTTTCCATCCGTTTGGAGTGTAGACATTTTTAGGGTTTTCGAAGATTTGGGGATTAGGGTTTGCACAGGACTGGAAAACGAATTGAACGGGTTGGAGCGGGTTGAAGATTGGATCCGGGTGCGAAACTGGTTTAACATTTGCTCTGACTCAAGTGAAAGGTTTTAGTTTTGTATTTGATATATGAAACCCTTCCCTGGATTTTAACCCTCCTGGCCCTAAACGATGACGTTTAGAAGTGTTTTATTTTGAGAGAAAGCATCTTTTAATTTTCATTTTTTTTAAATAATTTAATTTTTAAATTCATTTTTAATCGTTTTGATGATTACAAATTTTCAACTTCATGAAAAAATGTGAAATAAAATAAAGTTCATGAACTATATTAAAAATTAATGTAGATTAAAATAAAATTCAAAAATTAAATTAAAAATTTATCAAATTTAAAAATTTTAAAAATATCTCATCCCTTTTATTTCAGTGCAATCATTTTTAGGTTTTGTATTAATTAACTCAATTTAGTTATATTCATTTACTCGCAACTAATATAATAACTATATTTATTGAAAACTTTTTATAGGTGGCTTTTTATATATATGTTATTAAATGTATTTAAAATATTAAAATATTATTAAAAATATTGATTTAATGATAAAATAAGTAAATACTACGGGTTATACTCCGATTTCAACTTGAAAAATAATCTATTAATTATTAAAAATTTAAATTATTTGAGTTATATTTTATGACCCAAATTTTATTTAAACTTTTTAACCATATAAAATATATGAAATTACAAATTGAGTTAAATCAAATAGAATATTTTAATATTGAACTGAATCGAATTTTACTCTACCTATATATGGCTAGTTTTTGATTTATTGAGATAAGTAGGATATTGAGGAATCCTGTATAATTCAACTTGCTATTTTTTATTTTATTTTTGAAGGGAAAATGGTGCCTTTGAGGGTTGACCAATTAGAAATTCCACACGCCAGAAAAAGTCCATCTTTAAGAACTAAAAATTCTGAACTCAAAACAAAAATCCCATTGCTGTTGTTCCAATTTTTCCCCTTTGATCAGTTCAACTCAATATTACTCCTAAATTTTCTCTAGCAAAAAAACCCTTTACCCAAAATGCATGATTTTTGCTTCACAATCCCTTATGGATTGATTCTCGTGGCCGGAGGAGTAATTGGGTATTTGAAGAGAGGAAGCACAGCATCACTTGCTGGGGGTGTAGGCGCTGGATTGACTCTCATTCTTGCTGGATATTTGAGCCTTAAAGCTTTCGAGAAGAAAAAGAACTCTTATATTGCTTTCGTTCTTGAGACTGGTAAATTTTCAAAATCTCATCTTTCTTTTCACCCCCGCCTTTTATAAACTTTTTGTTGTAAATTTGATCTGGGTTTTTGTTTAATTACCCTTATGATCTGTAGTTAGGTAATAGATGATTTTGTAGTCTCAAGGTACTCAATTTAATTGGTGTTCATATTTTAGGAGACTTTTTTTTAACTTTTTTGGATCACTGATCATAGATGATGTTGTTACATTGTGGAAATCATGAATCAGATTGGATATTGTTGATCCAAATTGATGCTATTTTCTTGATGAATTTCTAGGGAAAAAACTGTCTTTGCTATGTTCATGAAAGTTGATTTTGTGTATTGTCTGCTTGCTTGCAATCTTCCCCTTCAATGATGGAAAATGTTTCTTCTTTTTACTGATCTGTATTATATACCTTTAAACCAGTTACTGCGGCTGCCCTGACATGGATCATGGGACAACGTTATTACCAAACGTCTAAAATTATGCCGGCCGGAATTGTTGCCGGAATCAGGTATGTTGCTAGCCTGTTAATATATATTCAGTACCCTTCATACGATTTATCAAATTATATCATTACTGTGATGATCCTGCTGGATAATCTTACATTAAGCTCTTCTAAAGCTAACAATACTCGTATATTGATAAATGTGTTGTATGAGTTAAGACCTTAAGTGCTCGATTGTGTACCAAAATATCTCCTTTCGACGGTGCTGATTATAGAACCCCCATGTCCGGTTTATCTTATACCTATTACGGACCGACCGTATGTTGCATTTCAATACCATGTATACAAGTCTCATGATTTTCAGATTCTTTCATGATATGCATGTCTTTTATGATCCATCATTGGTGTAACATTTAACTCAACCTGATTTCCGTCCGGTAATTCGTGTTATTTCCATTTCTGATGCAAAAGTTTCAGATCACCATGTTTCACTCTGCTTCCATTTGTCCACCTCTTTTGACTTGGACATAAGGGTTTATTTTAGGTTTTCTTTGTTAATTCAGAATCCATTAGAGCTTCAGGAGATATCAACTCATGTTGCATTTCGTTGCAGTGCTCTCATGACAGGGTTTTACTTGTACAAAATCACCACCGGTGGCAATCATTTCCGGCCAAGGCTGAATAACACTGTTACACTGAGATATACCAGTTTTAACAATTCCTTCAAGATCATTGAAGCTCGGCTTCTTGTGTTGGAAAATTTCAATTATATAACACGTGTTGTACTCTGATGTGTGTATGAATCTAAAGTATAGACTGTTGCATATGAAAAAACTGGTTTTTTTACCAAAATTATGTTTGCTTTTGGAGAAATTTCCCACTTTTAAAGTTTAAATTTGTTATTGGAATGAATGGTTCACTTAATTTTCCCAATATAATCAGGTTTGCTCATCAGATGTAAATATAAAGAACAAGCAGAACTAGAATTTACAACTCATATAAGACTAAAATTCAACAGAAGAATGGATTTGGTAAATCTATGGGAATCGTGTTCTTACATTTTATATCATACATGAGAGTATCTGACATCTCCATTCCTAGTATGATTAGCATATTTACAGTTGATGCCGAACACAACGTTGCACAGAATTGCCCGAAACGATAAATGAAGCTGTCTAGCAGTTTCGTGGCCTAAAGTACTTTGGAGGCATAGACGGACAACGTTCGTTCATATGGGCGTATGGATCCATAGAATTATATCCAGGTAGTTCCATTCGATACTTGCCCTTTATCTGACAGTAAGGAAGCTTTACATTGTCGGCATCATTGCACCACTTTGGAAGCCGGCTTGAATTATTCTCGAAAAACCTTAGAGAATAAGCATCTTTGATCTGTGTTTTCGATATTAATTCAATCGACAAGAGCTTGTATCAGTAACTACTTGGGGGAAATTATATCACCTTAAACAAAGACTTTATGTCAAAGTAAGCTCACCGTAAACTCGGTAACTTGAATAGAGTCGGCAAACGGATTAAAAAGTCCTGCCTCCTTGTACATTTCGAGGATAAAAGCAATGCATGATGTTGACTTCCCGTCACTATACACCCAGTTATCCTGTTCTGGAATGGTCAGCAGTTCATCAAACGACGACCCACGCTTTTCGATTTCCACCAATATATCAGAAAGATTAAGACCCTGCAGTTAACGCTATAATTAGAGAAAGAAAAGATATTGGAGCACATTTTTTTAACGAACAGGAACAAAGAACAGCTAATATATTCAATTTTTTTAAGACCAAATAAGTGTAAATAAGCTACAACCTCGATTTCTGCCATGAGTTTACTTATGTTACCAACAAAGAAAGATATCGTACCTGAGTTCCAAGACGCTTGTTTAAGGCCTCATTCCACATGTTAGCAGCATATTCAGGTTGTATTTTACTCCAAACTGTCATGACAGAAGCTACCTGTATGATTGTCAGGCAAACACTTAGAAACTATGAACTGCATAAGTTCTGGACTCAAACCGTGGAGAGAACAAGAACCATAAGCATTAACAACATTTTTATGCAATAACATTTTATCTGTAGTGCTAAAACTTAAAACCAAAAATCTTAGTACGAGGTACCAAAATGAATATCTAAATACCACGTGAGCATCCAATGGAGGAGGATAATTCCCATCGATGGTGTCTATCCAGCTAAATATCATGTTATGGTAACCATATGGTTCGCCCGCCATACTTAGTGCATACTCCCATGCAGCAGTCTCGTTAAACTTTGCTCGAACATCAGGATGCAGAGGAAGATATGCAATATGGGGATTAGACTCATCCTTGTTCAGCTCAAAATCCCACCATTCATCCCATGGTATAATTGCAATGATATCTTCTCCCTACAACCCAGGATAGATAAAATAATAACAAAAGAGTCATTAATAAGTACCGGCAGAACAACTCAAATAAATGGTTATACCTGATAAATTACTAAATTCAGTCGAAATAACATCAAAGAATCTATGCAAGAACATAAAGATAGTTGGATACAACATTGTTTTTACACAAATTTAAATGATTCTGAAATTTTCCATTCTTTAACATATTTGAATAGGGGGAAATCAGATAATCATGAAAAAAAAAATCTGTGTTTATGTGGTGCTAGGTTAACCTATTAAGCAAATACTCATTGTAAGTCTATAGTACAGCAAGAAAACAATAGCGAACAAAAGGGTATTTGTTTTTACAGACAGAAAGAAAAGAGAGAATATGTAGGGAACAAATTTGGTTAGTTGGATAAAAGGGTTTTTGTCATACCTTCTCATTTTCATGTCCTGATTCACCAACCCAAAGTTTCCCTTCAGAATCCTTTAAACAAACAGCAGTATGACCAGCATAAGCACCGCTAACCCACTTCTCAAGAGTCTCAAAACCACCCCATCGTCCACGAATTTTTGATATAGCAAGGAAATCTCCTGAGTGCACATCATCAACACTGATGTTAGTAACCCAAGGCTGAGGCCGTTCTTCAAAAGAAGCCCCCATGTGCTTCTCGAGAAACCCAATATTGGAGTTCTCACCCCATCCGGTATTCGTAAATAAGGGGAAGACATCCCATAGAGCTTGAAATGTTCCTATCATCCCTGCTTGCATCAGGAAAATTGAAATCCCCTTGCGTTTCACCTAATTTAAACATGACATAAAACTCCATGTATGAGTTCACCGGAAAGATGCATAACTGAAACAAGCTAACGCTTGAAGTAACTCAAACTAACAATGGAAACTTACATATTCATACTCAGCTTTATCTTCCCACTCGCTGATTTCAAGCGTATGCTCCCGAGACAAAAAATAATAATCCCAAGTCACACGGTATGGAGTTGCAAAGACATAAAGATCCATACAAGTCCAACTATGGGGGTAGCTAACCTGGATAAGCACAGAGATACCATTTTCACACTATTAAGTCCCGATGTATTCTTAACCTATTCTACAATCATTCAAAATATAGAATTTTGCATCATTCAGAGCATAAGTTATGCAAATATTCAATTTTCCTCAATTTGACAAATTACACTCTCAAATTTGACAAATTACGTATAGAAAAGCGAAATAAAAAATCCCAAATAATTCAGTTTTCCTCAATTCATCGAAACTAAACTAAATTAAAAGAAACCAAAATTGAAGCACTTTCAGCTGAAACCAAGCAAAACCCAGAAACAAGAACAGTCCAAAAAAACCTCAAACGAATTAATTTTAAGCACTTCAAATCAAACCAAGAGATACCCAGATTGCAGAACACTCCAAAACATCGAGAAAATAGAAGGCCATAGGTGTTACCCTTATATGGAGAGTTCCACCGCCAAACTCACTGCCGGTCTTGTTATGGAACTCCATCCAAGCCGTGTTCTCATAGAAGCAAGCACCTTTCCAGTTCATGATGCGGTTCGGCGATGAAACAGAGCCGACGAAGGATGGTAAAAGGTCAACGGGGCCGTGAAGAGAGTTCAGGATCGGCCACGAAACCTCTCTCGGCAATAAAGGCAGAACATCTCGAGGGTGAAATGGAAATTTTGCAGCTCGGACATGTGAGAAGAAGAAGAAGAAGAAGAAGAAGAAAAACAGTTGAAGGAAAGTAGGAAATAAAGAAGAAAAGAACATTATGGATTTCAGAGAAACGATTAAAAATTAGTTCTTTTCTGCTATGACAAAACATAAAAAGAACTTGAGAACAACCAAATTCAAGTTTGTTTGTATTTTATATAGCTGTTAATTGCATAAAATGGTACAAAAGTAACAAAATAGGCGTAAAACTTTTTGTGATTTTAATTTTTGGATGTATCGCATTGTTTCGGTTTCTTGTTTAAACGACCTTCCATTTTAATTTTGGGTAAAATGTAATCAATGTCACTATTTTATTAGTTCAATTACAAATGAGTCCCTTTTTAAAAAAATTACAATTTAGTCAATTAATTATTATTATAAATAGGTTATTTTGTTGTTAAAATCGAAACAGATGTATAATTTGACCTGGTTTAATAATAATTATAATCTCTAAAATATATATATTATATCAATTTGATCTTAATTCTAAATGATTAAATAAATTTAACTCTTAAAATTTAAAAATATAATCAATTTATTACCTTTTAAATAAGGTGAAACCTTTCACTTTGTTAAATAGGAAATGTTTCCGAATCTTCTCATAAAATCGTAGTTTGATTAAATTTGATAATGTGTTATAATTTTTGACATAATAACAACTTTAGCCCCTAATTTTTTATCTTAATTACTTTTTATTTTGAATAACGTGAGCCATCAACCTTCGAGTTATAGTCAAATTGTTTTTTTTTTAAATGAAATAACTTATTTGACTATTATATTTTAACGACAAAGACCAAATAGTTATCATGGTAGTTTACGTATATTTTATTATTGGACTGGATATTTTTAAGAAAATAATGAGTTTTTTAAAAAAAAATATATGGTTTTTTATTTATAGTTGAACTATCAAATCAATGTTAAAATTATAATAGTTTACCCTATTTTTCATTAAAAATAATTTAAGTAAAATTTAAATATTAAAAATTAAAGTGGTCTATAAAAAATTTAAGATTAAAGGATAAAAAAATAAATATTTGAAGTTAAATTTACTATTCCATCTACTTTTTTTTATAAAAGATGATGTGATTTTAATATTATTTGAACATAAATATAAATTAAAAGGAAATATTGTTGTCGTAGATGTTCGGCTGTTAAGCTTTTATTCATCTGTCTTGAAAACTTTTTATTTAAGTATATTATGAAAACTTTAAAGTTTTACTTAATTATTTTGAAATGTTATATTTTTAATTGAGCATATTCTAAAGTATTATACTTTTATTTAAGTTTTTAGACATTAATAAAATGTTATAATTTTATGTATCTCCTACAGAAGTGTTTATCCTATAAAATTAAAATATTATCATCCACAACCACTTTGAAAAAAGTGTTCACTTCAGCTTATTAGATCTCAAAATGTATCCATAAAATAGCTTAAATGAACACTTACATAGAGGGAAGAGCAAATACAAAAGGTGCAAGAAACTTCCGAGGAAGAAGATCCTTGGAAGGAACTAATTGTAAAAGAGGAGTTCATACATTTGCAACATGTCATAGCTTAATAGCCTCACTTATTCATACACCAATAATTCATAACAAACATGATTCTTTGCCTTGCTTGGAAGCTTCAATTGAGGAACAATCATTTTTCTTATATTTTTCCATTCAGCCTCAAATATCTCTAACCTTAGCACGTGAATCAAACACCAAATGAGGAGATGGAGGATACACAGGGAAACCAATATCGACGTTTTCCATCTCTATGACCATCATCGATCATTGCAAGACCTTCCTGCATCAAACAACACGGATTTTGTAAACCCTGCAAATCTAAATACCATAGTAAGATGAAATACATGTCGATCGTTTGTAAGAACTTACTTCTAATAAAGTATCAAGGGAATCGATAGCACGCCCATGCGTCCAGGAAAGCCGTCTCTCTACCTCATCGACAGTCACATAGCCTTGAGCCTGAGAGAGAAACAAGTAGAACATCAATGAAACACTTATTCACGTTTGGTACTTGATAGAAAATACAAAATTGAAGAATCAGTAACCTGTGCCAGCTCCAGAATTTCATTATGATCTTTCTTCAACTCAGTTGGAACCGATCGAACCAGCTTTTTCTTTCCAGCAGATATTACCTCAAATCCGCTACCTAATGTCTAGAGGATTTGAACAACACTTGTATTTAAAAATGGCAGTACACATATTTATATAATTTGCATAAGACGATTCCATTACAGACAAATGCAATAGGAAGTCAGATCTGCAAGCAGAAATAATGGCACCACAATTCAAAAACTGTTCAAGCAAGCGTGTTGCTCAAAACTACGGAAACCAATATGCATTCTCATGTTTATCCTGTCAATCATCCTAAGAGTCGAAAAGGGAAGATGGGAATGTGGTAAGGCCAGCAAACTCACTCAATAAGCAGTATAAAACAAATATGAAGTAACTTCATAGTGCCATACCTTCAGCTTACTTATAGCACGCAAACAGTCATCCTCAGAAACAGCTTCACGATCATGTTTCCGTTTCTGACGAAGCAATTTGCAGAGTTCCTGCAGATCGATCAACCCTCCATTAAGGGACCGAGTCGCCAAGCATATCTCAACAATTTGAACTCCTGTCTAGCCAAATACCAATACCATATTATAAGCACTCAACCAAATTTTGACACAAATGAATCTCTTCCATGTTAAGGTTAAAACTGTGAAGTTGATCACTAGAATTTACGAAATAACTCAAAAAAACAGCACCGGTATATGAATTTGTATATCAAGCCAAAATGCAGAGAAATCTGCAGGTAAATTATCTATATTTATATAAATTTCACAATTATAGAACTCCCAAACAAAAATGGGTAAATATACCCAAAAAATAAGCATAAAGATCATAACTCTGCTCTCAAAATAAAGAATATCAATTTAAACTAAAAAAGAGGGGAAAATCTTAAAGACAATGAAAAATTCTCCAATTAATATTTGTTCTAAAAATAAGGATTTCGTTACCAACCAAGTTCATAATAGAAATCACCAATCCCTAAAAGTTCAGCCCAAAATCCCTTATTTGAAGCCAAAGGATCCACTCCTACTTTAGCACACATTTCATGAAATTGTGACCTAAAAGACGGATTTTTACGAATATCATTCTGCAAAAAATATAGAAGTAGAAATTAGAAAAAAACTGAAATGATCAAAATCATGAAACGTAAAACTGAAAAGGAATTTTTCTTAACCTTGTGTTTTCGAGCGAATTCTTCGAGTTGAGAACGGAAAGTAGCGAGCTGTTCCTTCATGAGATCGGTCCGTAACTTGGCTACATTTTCTCCCAATAATCGATATTGATCCTAAAATTTTGAGAAACAAATTACACAAACAATTACAGGTAGAGGCTGTAATTGATATTGATTAGGAGAATCGTAATTAAGATCAAAATGAACGAGAAAGCAAACCCTAGCAGCAGCAGCTGTTTGAAGGCCTCCGATTCCAGGTCGTCTTCTCATTTTCCCCTTTTCTCTGCGTTTTTCTGATCAAAGTTTAGTTTCCTTTTTTTAGCAGACCGCCGAGTTGAGAGTGGGTTAAAAAAAGCTGGTCACGTTTTAAATTAAAAAAAAGTCAAAACATACTAATAGTCTCGATTGAATTTTTTAATTATTAAAAATTTAAAAATAATTTCCAAATATCAAAAATTAAAAAAATTATTTTTGATTATTAAAAGTTATAAAATAATTCCGATCACTAAAAATTATAAAATGACATTTCATCATTAAATGTTACAAATTAATCTGATTATAGGATGATATTTTATAAAGTTCTAGACTATTAAAAGTTATAAAGTGATCGCTCGATTATTTATATGTTTTAAACTTATTCTTTTCGGTTAAAAAAATGATCTTTTAAACTGGAAATTAACATGCGACTGATATATGTTAAAATCGTATTTTAATAATGCCTGCTGACATTGCCTTTGCTTTCAAGCACTAGCCCGACAACATAATATTTCAAGCATTGACTTGAAGGCGTAATATAAACGGAAAATTGATTCACAAAATACAACCCGAACGATTTCGAGATTATCATATCACAATCAATAGATTAATGTCTAGCTCAAACAATCATTAATTTTTATCAAAAATAATAATAAATTTATGACATATAAATAGTTTAACGATCATTTTATAACTTTAAATAGTAGAGAGAATCAACAAAATAATATTTTTAATCAAAATATCATATGTATACTTCTTAATCTCTTCAACATGAATCCAATGCTTCTTTTACTGAACATTTGGATTCACCTATTAAAGATGAAAACTTTTAAGATAATAACTTTGGAAGCAAACCATTACGTACTCGAACTCAAAAACATTTACAGAATAATATTTTCACCCCCAAATTATTGTCTTAAATTTTGGAAATCCATGCTCTTCTTATGATTCTCGAGATTTGGGTCTTTAAATTCTACTGAGCTGGAGGAACACCGAGAATGTTGACAATCAGGTTCAGTTTCACAGAACAAGCGCTTGGTTCTAATTCGACAGCCTACATTCTTATGAGCTAACTACAAAATGACATGCCAAGAAGAAATAAAACATCTCGATAGATTGTCATGGAAACAAATTGGTTACTGAATCAGTGGCCTATATAGCAGTAGGTTCTTCTCACATTGTATAGCCTGCAGGCATTGCTTGCATTTTTTACGACAGGACGGATCTCCACTTTTCTTAAGATTTCAGGGTGCTTAGTCAGCTCAAAAACACATGTCATCAACATCAAGATGATTACCTTCTACAAATGCCAGCCAACACAGGTAAACACTCGGATTTATTTTCCTAATATGAGGATTTATGATACTCTAATCATTCCGACTTCATAATATTTTAAGTTTATTGTTTCGTTTCATTGCAAGAAAATGACAGGGAGAAAACTCTCTTCATCACAAATCTATTGGTTAAATGCTATATCATTCATGGTTACATTTACATCGGAGGACACTTGTAACACTCATAGCCCATATATATATATATATATATAAAAGCCATAAATGTCACACGCGAACATTTATTGAATATAAAGACTTAAAACCTCATTTTAAGTTTAAACATTTCCTGCTTCAATTTAAAAATCTTAACGTTATTCCTATAAAACCGTAAAATAAATTTAATAACAATCAGTAATTAGACAGTTCAGAGTTGATCATATATATATATATATATATATATATATATATATATATATATCATTGCCTAAATACTGCTTAATTTAAAACCCATTTAAAATCAATCATAATAATATTCATTTATAAATATGATTATAACTAAAATTAACCAAAAATCAAAACAGTTCTAAATTAATATTACATATTCCTTTTTAAAATAAATCTGATAAAGCAACCCAACGAATATAATGCACATGCCACGAATAAGTCAAAATTAGGATGTCTTACTGATACCGTTAGTAAGTTAGATTTCCATAAGATGCTAGTAAATTCCTCACTTCACGTCATTTACTTTATTTGAACATACACATAAAAAATCATCACGCGCTAAGTAAAACTTAGTGAGGCAGAAATATAACTAAAACATAGAATCCATAAAATATAAGGAATAAACTGTAATTTAAATAAAAATATTAAAACTTCAAACCAGGCTTTTCAAGCCGTATTTTTCCTCATCAAAAACCTAAAAATCATGTTCTCATAATTACATCAAAATCACAATAATCAACATCAGCAATATTGTACTTTGCATATACTTTCCATTCAGACACATTTCAGAACTTTCATATTTTTTATTTTTATATTATTTTTCCTTTCAATCACTTTCAAAACTTTCTTTATTTCATTTTCATAATCCAATGTATATTTATGATAATACAAGATACACGAGTCAAACGAGTGAGCGCAATAATCACTTCAGTGATATCATCATAATCAGAATATATAAATACACACAATGCTATCATATCAAAATTGTAATGTGCACACAAAGTGCAATCATATCAAAATATATATACTAGTGCACCCACTGGTACACTACAGTATATCAGAATCAGAACATATAATCATACACAGTGCTATCATATCAGAATCGTAATGTGCACACAAAATGCAATCACATCAATATATATACTAGTGTACTTTTAGGTAACACCACAGTATATCATAATCACTCCAACCTCATGTGCCAACGACTCTCAATGCAACATACAATGAGCTTTACTTTAATTCATAACCATTTAAATAAATATCATGACAAACCAGAATTATTTTTAAATCATAACCGTAGAATATAACATGGGCAGTTCATACCCGAAATCATTCATGAAACTTGATAAAATATTATAAAAATAATTTCAAAATTAAAACATAAACTATACTTTTTAAATAAAATAATACGAGGCTGACTTATCACAAATCATCTTCAATCAGAATAATTAAATAATTAAATTGCACTCACATTAATACTTTATATACAAATCAAAACATAAATCTCACCAAACTTTAAGTTTATTTCTTGCTTCCAATTCACTTCTTCACGAATTTATCACAATTTTAAAATTATTTTGTATTAATATAGATATTTAAAATTTATTTTATTTATACCACTGGAAACTAGACTCGAATACGAATCTAACCATATAAGACACTTTTTCTAGTTCAATTCTCACAATTTATAGCGAATTTTCAAAGTTGATTGCAGAAGTTGTCTTGGATAGAATTTGTTGTCTTGTTTTCTGACCTATCACTGATTAAAAATTCTTATCTTTTTGTATACTTCTTGAAATCAATTTTCGTTTGTTCTAAACGAAACTAGACTGATATACAAATCCAATGGTATAAGATTCATCCCCCAATCATTTTTTTAGAATTTCTAATGATTTTTGAAACTTATTGTTCAGAACATAATTTATATGCAGATTTCACCATATAGTGTCCTTAACTTATTCACTAATTCTATTAACTTACTAAATAAACATATAAGCTTAAATTATATTTCATATAACACTAGGAGTCACTTCTTAACATAACTCCAACACTGACTTATCGCAATTTAATGTTTATTCGAAACATAAATATGAACTAAATGCACTCACCTAGTGTCCTTAGTTTGTAAACCTTCCTTAGAAATTCAAATTACATCCTTAAGCTTCTCCTTAGCTTTAATATTGTTTCATCATGATTCCAACAAACAATCTAAATGCACATCATTACCGAATATATACAAATTCAAACCACATGTTAGAATCTTACTAACATAAGCACACATAGAAAATAGACTCCTAAAAATTCTTTCAATATTCATTCGATAATAATTTCATGTCACAACATAAATGTTGACCTTAACACTTCTAATTGACCATTCAAATTTTATTTAATTCAAATTTTACAAACATTTTCACTTAAGCTTCCAACTTTTCCATCTTTGTGATTTTATCCTCAACTTTTACAAACTTTCCAAAAATAATTAAATTTCACATTCTAACAGCAATTGCAACACTTAAACATTAATTTCCAGCAGAGTACATCAATTATTGCATAATCACACATCAACCCACACTTTTTCATAATTGCCGACTAGGTTCCTCAACTTTTTAAAAATTATCAAATGGTCCCCAAATTTTTCTAAAGCTTGTTGAATACTTCTTACACATTTACAGGCCCTACATAATTTTTCTCCCTTGTTCAAGCTTCGGTTAAATAATTTAAGTTTAAGACTATAGTTTTCATGATTTTACTCGATTTTGATTCGATAAGCATGAAATCAACATTGATTCAACCTTATACAATCTCTACAATCAAAGCCCTAAATTAATTTCATCAAAACACATCTTTACCCTAAAGCTGGGTTTTGGCTGAAACTTTATATGTTCGTATAACCATGTACAAGTGATTTTAATCTTCAATCATGCTTGGAAATTATTCTACAACCTCAAAAACCTCAAAATCATTCATCAATTCCATAAACCCTAATGTGAACATAAACCATAGAGTTCGAGATCTTTGAACACAAATCAAATTAGCAAGCAATAATAGTACCAAATGATACCGCTTTTCGAATAGAACAAGTTTTATTTCACGACATGATCCAAAATCTTTAAGAAATTGCTCAAAAAAATCTCTTACCTAGGTACGAAGGAGCACGAAATGTCGGCTAGAAAATGGCTTGGTTTCATGAAATTTTGGTTAATTTTATGTTAATTTAGCCTTTATTTAAGCTTAAATGAATAAAACATTCATTTAACGAGAAATATCTTTTACTCTTAATGAAAATTGATATTTCCCTTAATACCATGCCACATAAACCTTGTCATAAATAAAAAGTAAAAAATAAATCAATTATCTTGCCCTTTCCGACTTTGCCCATGCCATTTTTCAAATATTTCAATTTTGTCATTTTTATCCAACGGTCTAGATTAAACATGAAAATTAATTCTCAAATCCAATGGTCCATATTATTTTTCATCATTTTAATATGTGGAAATAATATTTCTAAACTTAATTTAATGCTCTTTAAATTTTCCTGAAATTTCTATTCGATCAAATTTATCAAATTTTCACCAAACTTTAACAC